TTCCATCAACATTTATAAATTATATTCAGTAAATTTGTATTCAAAATAAGTTTCTGTTTATTTAACTATCGATTACGAACACATATTGTAGTGTATTTTAATATAGGTATTGTTTAAACGGTATTACATAATTAGTTTTTAGCATTTGATTGATCAATATTATTGTGGGGCTTGTTTTACTCTTTTTTTAGTGTGCAGTCGGGTATTTTGTTTTTTTAATAATAATTTTTTTTACTTTATGTAATCGATTTAACCTTCGAATTACCTTTCGCAGAACAACAGCGGCTGACATGAACGAGTCTAGTAGACAAGTCGGTCGACAGGAAGTTGATTGAGTAATATCAGTTAAGTGAGGTCAGTGATTCTTATTGCCCTCTAGTACGATTGTTGTGTCGACGTCCGATACGTAAATTAGGCAGATTGTGATCTGACTACGCGTATTTGTTGAACGTGACACCCGGGTGAATTTAGTCAGTTGGAGTCTTATATGAGGATCTATTCTCCCTCGGATTGCAAGGTAAGTATTACCAATACTAATGAGTTAACAGCTGCACTGTAATTACATGCAAGCATTCCGTGTTAAGTCTTTAAAACATTAACTGTTAGTCTGTGTCTACAAGTTCCCGATAAAATTAACTGTCAGATAGGTAATACATACTAATTAAGTTATTCTGCAATAGCAATTGGCGCCGTGTTGTGCGTGTGTAAGTGCATCCACGAGGGAGGAGAAAATTATAGAATTGGACGATGTAGATTGTTAAAAAAACTGATCTGGTCGATTGATACAAAGTAACAAATTATGTCTTTACAAAAGCTCAGTTCGTTTTAAAATCTATGTTAGGTGTTAGTGGTCGGGCATCGCGTCGGGTCAATGGAGAGCGAACTCGCGAGACTGGTGACACGACAAATTGTCCAATTATCTACAATCGCTAGACCGCTTCGTGACAACGACACCTCTACTACAACAGTAGCCACCGGTTCATTGCGGACCCCGCCTCTTTCTTGTTGCTAAGGTAGATTTAAAAGGTGTGAAAATAATTGTTTATTGACACGAAATGGGCGCTTCGAATAGTTAATGTATTTGTGTACTCGTTTCCATCCTTGGCTGTTATCGGAATCTTACTCGTTTAGAAATCAGTGTACTAACACTTTCAGGCCAGGCTTGAATTACATAGGACTTCAAAACTCCTTAATGGTTCATTTAGGTAGTAATCACAAATAAGATATAGTCAAAAAATAAAAAAAATCTCATCTTGGATCTATTTAATAAAAATGGCAAGAAATTGCCAAATCTTCTCACATGGCATCACGAGCTACGTCAAAACCAAATTAAAAGCAGATGATAAAGACAAAAACATTACAATTTTACATGTTTGAAGGTTATCTACCATTAAAATGATATCTCTGGGAATATCTTTTGATTCATATGAATCTAGATATAAATAAAGAATGTCCTAATTTCCAAGCTTCCATTAGAAGTTCTGCGTTTACTTAAGCAATGAGTATATTTGGTAAGAAATTCCTAGGCACACCGTACTGGGACGGTGGGACCGACTGTTTAAAATTCAACACTTCTTTGGGCATGTGTTTTCTCAAGAAGGATGTGTCTAAAAGATGAAATAGTTAGTGGGAGCCGTTTATATGTTAATCGTGCGAACTGCCGCTCTGCACAGCGCGTCCGTTAGCGTAAATCCCTTGAATTAACAATGCGGTTTGCTTGGTTTATCGAATGTATGAACGCTAAAGGAGAAATGTAGCTAAAATAAACGTATTTGTGTTGTTATTCTTCCAGTAGTAAGAAAATGCTGGGTTGAAACTATCTAATTTATAAGTCTTCAGAAGTCTTGTCTTACCTATAGAGCTATAAAGTCTTTATTTGGTGTTTTTCTATAATATAGACTTCATAAATCAACTATCGAACCTAGGTATTCTAACACTATGCCTCTCTTTTAAGTGTCCGAAATGCGATCTTAAAGAATGGGGATAAGATATGGTGAACCCCTTCAAAACTGATCGTCTTTTGGCTGAGAACAAAAATGAATTTAAACTATTGCTGGACTATTGTATATCTAAGTTGTACTACACTTAATATATCTTACCACTTCAGTCGCATAGTGTACGCTGCTAAATCGCAGCCACACTCGTTGTCCAGTAGTGCTCCACCACGAGGGCACGAAGAACCGCCGATCATACCAGACTACTCCTACGTGGTCACGCAGAGAAACATCCTCACCAACGTCATTGTATGACGAGGGCACCGGCATTTGGAGTACAGGACCAGTCTGTTAAAGGCGTACAAAATAATTATGTTTATGCCATTTTTTTTGTAAACACACTTTTTCGAAATTTTAGAGGGAAAAAAAGATTTTTGAGAAAAATGAAATAAGTAGGATAGGATTTTGATAATTATTTTGTGTTTGAATGTTCCTATGTACGAATATACTTAGAAATGTGAATTTATAGACCAACCTAGGTCTGTTATTACCTAGAAAGACAATTTTATACTTGAATCACATGATCAAAACACATAATCGTTCTTCATTCACAAAATGCATATTTGTATATTAGGCTTTTATTAAAATTAATGAATCTTCTCTACCTATGTCTATAAAATTGGAACAAAGGACGAACTGATTTGTAACGTGTTAAAATATATGGCACGACGTCAGTTGAATGCAGGGTCAAATATCTTATGTACTACAGACAGACAGGCGAGGGCACTACGCAAATAATACAAAACATAATAGTCCTGGTACGTACCTACCTATATGAAAGGCACTGTTAAAGTTTCTTGGATAATTAATCGCTAGAGGTGCTGAAAAATTTGCCATACAATAATTTACGTCATGCAAATACTTTAGGTTTTAAACTGATGGTACAGATACTGAGTGAGGTACTTGGATACTAAATAATTTTTCACATGACTTATCTTCCATACGTCATGCTTCAGCAGATTAATGAAAGTGTAAGAGTGAAGTAATTGTTGCAAAAACTTGTTATATTACACAAAGATTAAATGTTTTTTGCGACATTGGATTTAATCCGCTATTTCAATCACGTGCCCATCTTTAATTATATTGTTATTGCCAGCATAAAATATGTATAGTTTTTAAAAATATCTCTTTCATAAACGATAATTCGATATCGACTGTTAACACGACGGAATAGTGTCTAAAAACAAAGTCGTTTTGATATTTGTAAACATCATCGAAATATAATCTCATTAATATGACGAAGGAGGCCATAGATTCCATAAGCTACAATAGGTATAATTAATGACAACAGAATACATAATAATAGTAAACAGATACAAAGACGTTATCGGTAAACAAGTTTTGGATATTATTTAACAAAGAATACATACATAATTATATTAGTAAGGTAACGCATAGGCGCCAAGGTCGACAGCTTTGCAATACGAATCTATCACGATATATTTAGTTTAGTCATTTGACATTTTGTCTCAAACATAATATACCAACAATACTAAGAATGTACCTAGTGTCGTAATAATATTTCCAACATTGCACTTTTTTGTCACAAATACCATCTGTAATAAAGAATGTAGTTTCATTAAGTATATTGTGCACTTTTAAAGTAAATAATGGTAGTAGGGAATTTATATTTATTATGCGAAAATTATTTACAGATTACTGGATGTGACACGTATTTCATCGATAAATTATTGAAAGTGTTTTAGAGGTGCTAAAATCTTAATTATATAGCTTATAAGAACGTTTTAGTAGCTATTGTTGCCGATTTGGCGTAGGTGGTTTAAAGGTTGCAATATATCCACAATCATCGACCATAACTCCAGAACGAACCTTAATATTTTTTAGGATTTGCAATTTATTTATTTTACTCATTTGATACTTATAAAGGGTTACGTGAGCGGATTATGGACCCGAGCCGGAGGCAACAACCCTTGAATTAAGTATACTGTTTATGTAATTTATTGAGAGAAGCTATAATAATTTCCTTACTTGAGACTTTATGTTTATGTTTATAGATACCAAAATTGGGCTTTTGTACTTGTAAACGTGCACTACATACATATCCGCAGCTACATACCAACACGACTACGGTGTATCGCCCTGTGGCTTATGATATCATCGGAGTAACTTTTTATGTGCGTGAGGTACATTACCTTGTCGAGATCCTGCTCGAACCAGCCGGCTTTGTAGCCAGTCTCAGGATCAGCTGGTGATTTTCTGAAGTTCCATATCCCGTCTAGTGTCCGTAAGTCTCTTGTTTCTGTTGCTTTAGGATACAAGGGCCCTCCAGTACTCGTCTGTGATTTTTTCGGCGATGAGTCGATTTCATTGCCTGTAGCTGCATTTTGAACTATTGCGTTTGCTACGCACACCAGTGTTGTCAATGATAAAAACATTTTTCGCCTTAACATTATCTGTAACAAAAAAAGCGTGGTTAAGGAAAGGAAAAAAATTTTTTTTTAAGCCTTATTATAGCATTTTAATTATTATTTTTTTAAGGTGTAAATATCTTAGTTTTTAGTTGATTATATTTTAAGTTATATATATTTATTTAATGTTAATTGTTATTAATATAGGAAATTAGTATTTATTTCATTGGTCTAAATATGTCGCCGTACATCCGATTTCATTGCAATATGCTTGAGAATTACTAATAGATAAGAAAACGTTCTAATGTAAACAGGCGCAAGAAGTGAAGTGATGAAACATGCATTTATGGGCTATTGACATTGGCAATGCTTAGTAATTACAGCGCCGTGTAAAAGTGAAACAACGAATTGAAGATGATATTGAAGATGCGAGGCGGGTAGTAACAGTATCAGTATCACCTCCGCAATACAAAATTCTTTGCTGACAATATTTTATTGTCACTTTTGTTTACTTGTCAAAAGACTCTAAGAGTCAAACTATAACAAGATTTGTAAACGCAATAAAAAAGTTTGTTATTCAAAAAGGTTTAAACGGCAGGGAAGTTCCTATTTAAGCTGTTAGTTAAACTTAAGCGTTTTTACCACTCTATTCGGGGATTAACACAATGTTTTCTTATGTTTTATCGTATTTAACTTGTCTGTTTATGTAACTTGGCTGATCGTGATCAAATATTAAATAAAAAGTTTAAAAGAAAAACCACTTTAACCTCCGTGTATTTATTGATGGATTAATTAACAATCAATAGTCGATATTCAACTTTGTTCTACAGTGTAGAATCTACACAATACCGACATTAAAATGACCAATAAGTTTCCTATTTCCGCGATATCGTCGCGGGCGCATCTAGAATTTCTCTATTCCGCAATGTGGGAGCATTGAAAGTGTATCTCTCATCGATACTTTGACCGCTGTACCATAACGGACAGTATTATATTAGTTGCACTATGCAATATGCTGTGTGAAATGGATTGGAGTCTTGGAGAAGCCGGTACACCCTAACCAATGTTTGAACAAACGTTGGGTAATACAAGTCTATAATTCCCAAAAACTAAAAGCAAATTAAATTGGGCATAATCTAAATTGATTACAAGATTGATAGCAAACACATGTGTTTATGTTAAATTGTAACAACAAGTCCAGCTAGATGTCGCTTAGGTAAGAGTACATTGTACCTAAGTAGGTACTATATATTGTTATGAAAAATGTTAACATGTGGAATCACTTAATACAATTAACAAATATTTAAGATGTTTCAAAAAACTGGTCTGATAAACTTGTCAGTCTCGTTGAAGAAGGAAATGTTTATTAACAATAATTCAATTAGATATTTTTATGACGATGATGAACAAGACTCAAAAAAGCGATAATATACATTAAGCATACCTATTTGCAACACTTTTATTTTTATTAGGTAGTCAGATATTTGGTTTACATACCTAAGTTACATGACATGGACTAAATAACTGAAATTATATTACTTAAAACAATGAGTAGTATTTCAAAATTATGTAACTTATGTATTATTTGAAATAAATATGTAAGCACCCATATAATGGTTATGTTAATGGCATGTATGCGGCGCGTTAGTTACAAAACTAGTAGCTTTCTAGCATGCTTATGCGCATCAAACAATACACTCTGAATTGTTGATCAGAATATTATACGGATTCTAGACACCGCCATGTAGGTAGAAAGGGTTGCCAACTAAAATGATTTACGACATAATTATTATAGTTTATAATATACTAAAGTATATGTAGGTATAAAAATGTCAAACTGTAGTTTTCTATAAAAAACTAGACAGCAATTATTTACTTTCTTCTGAAATTGATGGTTAGAGATTGATTTTGTACATCATCATTTCAGTAACAGATAAACAAGCGTCAAAAATATTCAGAGAACATAGGAATGCCACAGTAGTTCTGTGGATATCTTCTACAGATTATCTGTAACTGTTAATACAACGTATTAAAAGTTACAACATTCTTTATTACCAGAATAAAAATATAAGGTTACATATTTTTATTCCATGTGTTACCAGGTCGAAGGACGTTTTCCTTGTCGATTATTAAAAAAATGTTACACATGAACAAACAAGAAAATGTTAGGACGATGCAATGTTTGGATCAAGGTGCGATCTCTAATGTTTAAATTATATTTGGGTGTTTCAAATTTTAAATTATAAGTAGTCGACAATAATTAACTAACTTGATGCAAGTCATCACCTTTACATATTTTACTCGTGTTAAATAATAATACATACCAAACAAAGCAAATGATTACCTAATAACTACTGTACTCATCATAATAATTACATTAAGAAAAACTGATTGAACGACTACCTGCGTAATTTAATATTTGTTTACTACAAATTTTATGAATTAATTGGCGGAACGGAACTATTTTTAATAAATAGTTCCGCTTAGTACAATAAAAATTAATTAAAATACGACGTAACCGAACATAAAACATTATTTTAAATTTTCCTTGAATTGGTTTTCACCGATGCCACAGGTGCACATAACTACAAATGAATACATATTTTTGGGCAGTCAGAAATGTTTGTTGGTTTATAAATATTAGTGTCTGTAAGCTTACTTGACATGAACTTTGACCATTTCTTATGGAAAATACATACAATCATTGTTAGTCAACCCTATGCCAATTTATACCCTAAACTCCTCTAACTAAGAGCCGAACATTTACATTAACCATAACTATTTGAGCCTTTAAAGTCTCTGTATTATTGGGAAAGTATTCAAATTTTTTTATACTTCTTATGTTGACGTTTGGCTGCAATCTCGCCTGGTGGTAAGCGATGCTCTGGCAGACGATGGAGCACGCCTACCAAAGAGCAACCTATTCACTGCGGATTTGATGACACCTAAGTTATATTTGTCGGGAAACACGATTCCAATACATTTCCCGACTCGAAAAATAGTCCGAACTTATTAATTTCCCAACAAACACTTTTAAACAATTAAAACAATGTGACAGTAATTAACACCTATACTAATTACAGTTTAATCTGAAACCCATTTCATTGTATGTCAGTAGAACAAAAAAATGTTGTATTATCTCCTAAAGTATCAATGACTTGGGAGTTATTAACCCTAAAGATAACGGTTCAAATACCACAGTCATTAGAGTAACTAATTTCAACATGTTTTTATCACATTGTTATGGTTTTTTTCCTCGTTGTGTCAACGAAAAACATAAAAACGTAAAAGATAAAATCAATAATCAACGGCAATAGCCGTTGCCGTTGTTTACGTAAATAAACAAGAGAAAAATATCACGTTTGTTATTCTTTGAGTGGCAAACGAAAAGGTGTACATACCTTTCGTTGCAACGAAGTGTATTAGATTAATAATAATCTTGCTGTATGTAAATACGAAAGGTAGGGTATTTGTTGCTTAATAACACCTAATCAGCTGGACGGACCTAGATAAAATTTGGGACTGAGATAGATTTATAATCTGGAATGATACATAAAGATTTGTTCTCTGTAACGTAAGCAATTAAATGAAAAGTAAACCACACTCCATCAATGATATTGTCTAGATACTAATATAATTTATTAAAACAAAAATCAGTATAATATTTAATGCCATTTGAAATAGAACTGGGAATTCAATAACTGTGATCAGACTGTGGGGCAGTATAAGGCTATAGTAGGTATTATACAATCTCACATTTTAGTTATTATTTAGTAAAACTAGTTTTGTAAGTAGGTAACTTATGCTTACTTATTTTTAATTAATGAAATTGTTTAGTGGCTTTTCATGCAAATTATCCTAATAGACGAGTTAATTTAAATCTCGTACTATTAAATTATTATTGTTAAATGTATTATGGGAAAGATTCTTCACGGACGCTAAAAGAATCGTAGGTGGCACTTATTTTCAACTGAACGAGGAGGGTTACTACTCGATTTCAATGTCCTGTATGTTATTCTTTGAAATAAAGGTGCACTTTTAAACTTGTATGCATATATTCTATGCTATCATTCTTTGCGCAGTTTTCCTCAACACAAGAAAAATATTGACTTAATATACACGATTTTTGAATGTATTTTGTTTAATTAACTATTTCAATATTGTTAAATGGTGGGTCGTAGCGAAGGTGAATGACACATGATCCTTTTTATTTTATGACTGAATATAACATATCCACATCTATTTCTATGGAAACTAGGTAGTTAGACATAATAATTTTATAACAAATTAAATTACTATATATGTATAAACAGTTGATGCGCGTGGGTGATCGACCGCTTAATCGATCTTTCTTAATTTAATAACAAGTCTTTTTATTTGGAGGTCATATTATAATCACATGATATTTTCATTGAATATCATTGTGGAATGTTATACATTTAGGGGGGCATTAGATGTTTATAATAATTACCTATATGGTGCTTAAATCATACTGTAGATTGTAAAATTAAAGACAGTCAATATATCATGCTTTTAAATTTGGCAAATAACATAACATAACTTCACGTCTTTTATCCTCGAAGGGGTAGGCAGAGGTGTACATTACGGCACTTAATGCCACTGTACAATGTAACACTCACTTTTCACTATTTATGTTATGAGTCCCATGTAATAGGGGGGGTGAGCCTATTGCCATATACCGGGCACATTTCCAGACTCCGTGTTACTACTGAGATTTTTTGAAAAAGCCCTGTAGTACTTTGCCCGACCAGGGAATCGAACCCGATATAATATATCGGGGATATTTTTGAAATAATGTTTTCAATCGGTACTTACATTAGAGGTATATTTCGTCTGTATATTTTTCAGTATCAGTAAATAACTAAACTACGCTCCGAGTACGTATAGTAACTCAATAAGAGCATATTGTCTTAAATATATGTAGGGGGACTGGGGTCAATAGAAACAAATATTTTTTTTTAATTTCAGTAGTATATTGATCGTTACTGTAGCTAGCGCTTTCGGTATGTGACTAGTATCACATC